ACCACCTAATTTTGGGTAAAAAAAGAAAAAATCACAGAAGGAAGAACAGCCGGCAGGGCAAGCAATACAAAACCCGGCCCCCTCCTTAGCTCAAGGTCTGGATCCGCCACTGAAATACATTCGAAAGAACATAACGTTGTAAAGAATTCCAGTGGCAAACCAGTTGTCTATAAACTTGACATGTCTCACAAAAGAGTTAACTATTTACATCTGGAGGCTAGAAAACGTTGAACCGTCACTTTACGATACTCGCGTCTATAAAATGTCTCACTGGAGGTAAGACTCGTCTAGGCTAATCCTCACCTTTCTTTTATTTCCTATTTCATCAGTGACTGCAACGGTTCTCGGCTTCTGGATCACGCTGTACTTGTTGTTGGGTATGGAACCTATCAAGGCCAGGACTACTGGCTGGTCAAGAACTCCTGGGGGACTGGCTGGGGAATGGAAGGTTACGTCATGATGTCAAGAAACAAGGACAACCAGTGTGGAATCGCTACACTTGCTAGCTATCCGCTCGTGTAATTTACTAATACGTGTACTGAAATATCTTTGTAGCCAAGTCATATTTCACATAGCAAACTGGAATTTTGGAGTCAATTTATCAGTCACTTTACATGAGTACAAAATTAATCGTGAAATGAGCGCAAGTTTCTGTTTTGAATTTGGGTTTTACACACTTTCCAAATAAATTTTTATAATATGTTAGAAATATGCCTAAGGCTTAGATTTTGTTAAATATGTTAATGGAAATTAAAAGGCAATAAAACCACATGTTGTTATGACGAGTAATGTATTTCTGGTCTTCTGATTGGTTCACTGAAACTCGCTTACCAGCAAGCTTTACTACCCATTCAAAATACCTGAGTGTGCTTGACCTTATATGGAAGAAGAAAGCGAGAAGTGTCGCTTTTTACCACTGAAATACGAGAAATAATGGGCAACGCCATCCCGTAAATTACATACAGTTCAAAATTACATGCATGTTAAAATTAACTTATCTACGCCCCAAAATCCAAAAAAACAAAAAGAAAAAAACACAGATTTTGGGTATAAAATATTACACTTTGCGCAGCCACTTCAGTAAAGCTTAGGTAAAAGGTAAAGGTAAAGTCTGCATACGAGCCAAGTGACCCATCAGGCCGGAGCTTATCCCGGTTTCTGTAGCATGAAGCGACTAGGAGTATTTCTACTCCTCCCTGGATGGGATGCTAGTCCATCGCAGGGTTACCCCCAGCATTAAGTTCGCCGGTACCCATCTATACACCTGTGAGAGTAAAGTGTCTTGCCTAAGAACACAATACAATGTCCCCGGCCAGGGCTCGACCCGGACCGCTCGATCCGGAGACGAGCGCACTAACCATGAGGCCACCGCGCCTAAGATAGATATATAGATAACCTTTATTTTAAAACGATGAGTATTAAAGCTACATGAGCTTACACTTAGCGCAGCCACTTCAGTCAAGCTCCCTCATTCAAGCTTGTTACCTTGCATTTGGGTCCTGTCCTTCAAAGGCTTCTTTCTGTCCTTCTAAGTTTACTTTTTGTGCTTCTTTTTAAAATTAAACAACCGCGTAAACAATCAAAATTTCGATTCCGCGATCTGATATTTAGAGAGGAAGCCACACCAACCCTAGCTGGTTTTCATGCAGGTCCTCTATCCTGATCGAATTGGAATTTGGCCCGGGAAATGTTGGTTTTTGCACAGGACGTGCAATTTTAATTTTTTTTTTTTTTTTTCAATTTTTCAAACTGGTACGCGATTTCGCAATTGAAAACGCATTAGTCGGGACAGAGCATGAGACTTGAGAAAAACATATTCCACCAAAACGCAGAACTTAAAAATGTCGTTGACTACAGCCGAGAGAAAATAACAGCGTTTCGACCACCTAAAATTTGCTGCATTTGTTAATTTCCTTTTTGATTCATATATAGCGTTTACCCGGCGTTAAATCTTGAAATGTACTGATGCTTTACAACCCTCTCCCCTCGCCTGAAAGAACTTTTCAGCCCCATGAACCAATCCCTGTAGAAGGTCACACGAGAATGTTTCGTGTGTTTAGCAAAGTCTTGTGAGTTTGGTTCGAGTATCGAGAAAGCAAATCATAAAATAGGCTTTATAGCCCGATGAAGCTGAACTGTTAAAAATTCCCGATGAAAGATTTTTATTTCCGCCGCTCTCTTCCCCGAACGTCACGCGAAATGCGTTGATGGAAAGAAAAGCGAGGGAGACCTGGCGCTAGGCACTTGGGAAAATGGCGCTCGACGGTCAAGTGACTTATTTGTCAACAGAATCCGCGGCAGAATTTCAAAGGCCAAGAACTCCAAGACGAAGCCCAAGGCTGAGAATGTACGAGGAAGAAGAGGAACAAATAGAAAGCGAAGGAGTGCGATCAAATTCGGGAATGAGAGCGCCGATCATTGGGTATGAGGTGGTTGATCAACGACAAAAGTTCACGGTACAGTGATTGAATCTCCTTGTTCATCTGAAGCTTATATTGGGCTGCTCTATGTGTTCTTGTGTGGTTTTGTTGTGTTTTAAAAAAGTAATTGAAGGCAAGACTTGTGACCTTACAAAAGCGATAAGGAAAAAATTTTGACGCATTTACAATGTATCAGAATATGTTGTTTTACAATGTCATTGTGTTTATTTTTTGAGCGCGTGACTCAACGATTTGAGTTTAAGCTTAATTTATGCATTAGATTCTACGAAGGCTGGTTCCATTGCTGGCTAGAACGAATTCAGAATTGCAAATATTTTCTTCTTCATTTGTAAAACTGTGGATTTTTGGCAACTGATGCAGTAGTGTTCTGCTGAGTTGAAAAAAATATCATGCTTGGATAATTACAGGTCATGTACATGTACGTAAGATAATACGTACATCAAGTATTGTTTTTAAAAATTATGCAAACTCCTTTAAGTATGTAAAAAATGAAAGAAGCTTAAACAGAATCAGGATGGACCCAGACTTGCCACAGTCAAGCCGGGCCAAGTATTGTATTTCTACCAAGATTCAACTCTTTATTGTTTGACTTCATGTAATTTATTTCAAACATCTAAACGGACATAAGGTTACGTGTGAGCTTACTTACAATGAGACTCAATGTAAATCAAAGTGGCTATCGGCCAATGAACTTGGGAAATAAATCACTTGCAGGGTTCTCCCTAGTTGTCAGCAGAACAGGTAAGGGACCTTTTCAAACTGGTAAAGCATTTGGTTAATGTTGGACGTTCTGCAAAGGATAAGCGACAATTTGAACTTTTGCACCACGTTGGTTGAGCTAACGTCAGCGCTGTCCCTCTAAGTATAAAAATAACCTTCACGCAATCAAAGTTTTAATTTTTTTCTCTCTCTAGCGTTACTGACTGCTTGTGTTCTTCTGAATTGCCATGCTCTGATATTGCGGCCTTCCTGTAGCGTGTACCGGGCGCAGTAGCGTATGTCACATTTTCGCCTGTTTTAATATGCTTCTTACCAGTTCTTACAAAGACAAAAAAACATTCCCTCGCCCTCTTTAAATGCCAGACACCATACACTACTTTTACAGCAGAATACAATGTCATCATCGATCCAGTCATGCTTGAAAACATGGGGCTTTGATGGCAACTGCTTATTTCACTTTAAATGCATATTTTTTTAAGACTTCTGAGCGTTTACAGGCAGTAATAAGTGCTCTTACAAGCGGTAAATTTTACCAGTTACCGCCTGATAAGGAGAACTCTGCACTTGTAAACAGTCACAATTTCAGGGCCATTGCTCTGAGCATTAAGGTTACTCCAAACCTTAATGAGGCTACTTTTGCCAAGTTTTCTTTTTTTTTTTTCAACCAAATTAAAGTTCGTTTTTTAAGGCAATACGTCCCAGAAAATGAAAATAAAATGCTAAAATGCCTGTGAGTTATTGGGAAAAAGAGATTTTTTAATAAAAGTTAATAAACCGTCCAGGTGCACTCTACAGCAACCATTTCACGGCAAATGGCTTAATCCAGAGATCCATGTCAAATAATTTCAATTTTAGATTTCATGTCCGTCAGTAGTGCCATCTTGTAATCACGCTTCGGCAATTGCTCCTCAGTTTCGTTTGTTTTGTGGCACATCACTTTCCTTCTGTTGTGCCCATTATCGTTGAAACGTGTATACCTAAAACGTGACTGTAACACTATTACTTTCCCGCGAAGCTCCAGTTTGCATACTGTGAATTCTAGGGGTTCTGTTATTTCTTTGGCTGGTGGCTTTTGGAGTTGAAAAATCCCTCTGGGAAGGCGTGACTTGTTTATAAATCTTTAGAAGGTGAAAACTCGCAATCATTTTTCAACAGAATCTCTTTTCTTTAAATGAATTAATAGGGTATTTAGAATTGACGGTTTTCCTTGAAATTTGGCCAGAACATTCACTGATAGATAGGGAACAAAAGTGTGTCAGCGAATTCATTATTCTAAATGCATTTGATAGTGAAACTTGACAGATCTATAAAAAGATAACCAATAGAAATAAAACAAAATGCTGACACACTCCATAAAAACTAAAATCTTAAATTAAGATTTTAGTTTTTATGGAGCACTTTGAGAGATTGATGCTTTGTGATTAACACTGTACGGATATTTTGCGTCAACGATTGCATTTGATACCCAAGTAATTTACCAGAATTTCAGCCGGTTGTAAAATGCTTCTGCAGCCTTAGGAAAGCAATCAGCAAAACAGAATATAATTTTATCGAATTCTACATTTCGTAGCCTTTTTATTGATATATAGTTTGTAGGTGTTTCCTTGAAACCAGCATACATACAAATTTTTTCTGGAAGACACCCGCAAAGGTTTGGAGCAACTTAAATAAGTTTGTAATGAAATGCAAATGATTTTAAAACTTCTTTACTCTTATCAACTCTCCTTTTTGTTAGATCTTAACTTATAGTTATTAATTTGCTTACAAATATTATCATTACATTATCAGGTTTACAAGATAGAAGTTAAAGGTTCCCAGAGAAGTTGGTTTGTTTTCCGA